AACCCTATTTGACATGGATCATTATAGAGATCTTGTGTCTACTGCTTTGACTATGTTAGGTTGTATGTTTCCCTCCTTAGCATATGATACACATAGATTATGGGTCATATAGACCTCATTAGGCTAACCTTTGATTACTTGATTACTGAACTTCATCTTGTAGGCTTGAGAGTCAAGATGTCAAAATGTAGGACATGGTTTCCTTTTGGCATTCCTCATCTCTAGCGTCTAGAGGGATGTATTACATCGATAGACGGCTTACGCATTCTAAGAGTGCAAGTAGGGCATGAGGATTTTATTTCACGCTACCTAGACATGACACTTGCCAAGGATGTACTACATGTAGATGACCTTCCTCTACTAGAGGATCCACATGTGGCGTTTGATATACTCTCTTATAGTATTACTCATCGATCTATCTATCTACTTTGCACAGTTACTTCTACACATGCATTCATATCACGCTTGCTAACCTTTGATATGAGGATCATGGATATTTTTGGTGACATCATCACATCAGGGACCTTTGAGTGTGTGACAAGAGATTTGACATAGAGACATACATCTTTTCCGATTTTGTATGGAGGGATAGGCTTATTATTGATGGAGGAGATGACAACTATAGTGTTTTTAGCTAGTTGGGTCCCTTGACACCTTTGTTATCTTCCCTATTTATGATTCCATATAGGTTGATCCTTGAGATGTATGCAAGGAACTGGGATGGGGTCATTTCCTTTATAGTTACTATTACAACACAGGTGAGATGCTTTGCCCCTGGAGGTATGAAATGAACTCTCTTCTTTTTTCACTTTTTCCATCGATTGGATTAGATTCATATAGATTACCTTGATGGACCGATAGTTTCATTATGCTCCATATTCTCTTTTAGTGGATTTGATCATTCCTCTTACTACTAGGGCTCATCTATGCTCTTGTTTCAACAATGGTGTAGTTTTGTGAATCTTGGCTCGACTATGCATCAGGACTTTCCGACTTGCACTAGCTAACTTTTCTATATCGATGAGGTTCAACCTTGGCTTGGTTCATCCATATACATTCTCATTATTCACATGTGAGTGTGGTACTATCTTAGATGTAGCAAGGGGTCCATATGACTTTATTCAAAGGGTATAAAATAACTACCCATGATGCCATTAGAGATGTGGTGTTTGCTATGACACGAGAGAATGAATACCTCACATGGAGGGAGGATTGATATGCCTTGCAGTCAACTCGGGTTAAGGCAGACCTATACTTGATTCGGGAGGACCGAGTTACTGTTGCATACGTTATGTTACGAAACCTACACGTGATAGCATTTCGGAGGGGGTGATTACCCATCCTCTAGGATGAGCGGCGAGTGGAGTGGAAGAAACCAAGGTCTCCAAGTATAGGGATATGTAGAGAGATCACCTAGTTGTTCCTCTAATTTTGAAATTATATGAAGCTATGGACACCGATTTCAACATATTTGTGAGAGAGTGCTTACTCCTTTGGTTTCATCCATGTCGAGCTTGATGGGGTCTTCCCATCCTTTTTGTTATATATTTTTTACTTCCCTAAGCACTCATGTTGCTATGTGGATTATAGACTATACCTCAAGAATGCAAAAAATTGTTCGTGTATAGATCTTGGCCGGACTCTCAAGTCTACGCTTGTTAGGAGTTAACTTAGCTCTTGAGTAACTCTAGTTAGTTTGACTATAGTTAATTAGATTACTACTATGTAAAAGGGCTGGTAGAAGCTCTCTGTGACACTTAGGATTATTCAGTAAAGTGACTCTGTGTTCCGTGGACGTAGCCTCACTGAGGTGAACCATATATTTTTCTGTGTTGACTCTTGATTGCATATGTCTCTCTGTGAATTTCTGTTTCAGACCGACAATTGGTATTAGAGCCATATTGGTCAAAGGATAATCATTAGCCTTGGTCTTCACACGACAGTCCTTCTTAAAATGACCACTATTGCCACATTTCCAATAGACCACCGTCTTCATGTCTTGGGATTTACTCCTAGACTTGGATCTACCTCTAGATCCAAACTTCTTCCCATCCTTGTCATTCCGTGATTGTGACCGTACACGAGTCACATTCAATGCCGTACTAGATGAAGAGGATGTAGAGGGCATCATCATCTTTTGTTGATCATCAGTCAATAAAGCATTTACCTCCTCATTGTAAGTGATTGTTTGCCTATCACGATAGAGCAACACTCGTGACAGTGACTGATACGAAGCAGCTAATGAACTTAACATATGGATGACCTTCCTCTCATTGCTTATCTCCTCTCCAAGATCAATGAGGCGATGCCCACGTATTTTAATGTGTCGATTCTAAGCATTTCCAACTGGAACTCTCCATTTCTAAACGACAAAGGAGTGCATTTGCGTCTGGATCAGCTGCAGGCTCTGATCAAAGGATGGACTACCAATGGAGCTAAGAGAATTAGAGTGCACATGCTCATTGATGGTCGCAATGTTTTGGATGGATCCAGTTTGGGATTCCTGAATGAGTTGGAGAAAACCCTAAAGAAGGTCCGTGATTTGGGCTGCGATGCCGTGATTGCGTCCGACAATGGTCGCATGGAGGTGATCATGGACTAGTACAAGAACGATTGGAATGCCGTGAAGCAAGGCTGGGACACCTAGGTTTTGGGCGAGGCATCCCATAAATTCTAGAGTGACATCGAGGCGTTGAAGAAGGTCATTTTGGCAAAGGAACAATCCCCAAGAGGATATTGGGTATGAATGTTCGCATAGATTTGAAGAAGGGGAAGCTATGGTTAAGTCAAGGCAAGTACATTTAGCATGTGCTTGATAGGTTTAACATGGCAGACTCTTAAAGAGTGTGAACTCCTTTGACGGCACATTTTAAGCTCTCAACAACTCAATGTCCAATTGATGCAACTAAGAGAGGAAAGATGTCATCAATTTCCTATGACAAGGCAGTGTGCAGCCTCATGTATTTGATGGTGGGCACTAGACCTGATATTGCTCTAGCTATGGGAAAGATGAGCAAGTACATGTCAAATCCAGGGAAGGTGCATTGGGAAGATGTGAAGTGGATTCTCAGGTACCTCAAGAGTACTAAGGATTATGGTTTTTTGTTTGATGGTTTATTGGACAATACCAAATCCTTGTTTGATTACGTTGATGTTGATTATGGAGAAGAGGAAGTCTACAACTTGGAGGTGGATGCGTTAGTTGAAGATCTACCTTGCAGAAGAGCATAGCTGAGTCAAGTACGGAAACCGAATATATAGCAGAAGCGGATGCAGCAAAGGAGACTATTTGGTTGAATAAACTTATCACTAAGATGAGATTAAAACAAGATATTATAAATCTCCATTGTGGTGGTCAGAGTGTCATACATGTTGCAGCAAATCAAGTGATGGATAGCATGGTGAAGCATATCGACATCAAATATCACTTTATCAGAGATGCAGTTTCTGATAAGAAGGTTGAGCTAGTCAAGATTGACAGTAAACTCAATCCAACTGATGCATTGACCAAAGTTATTCCTTTTGAGAGTTTCACGAGGCATTGTGCTACTATGTAGGTTTTGCATAATGAGCACTAGTAGAGTTACTCTAGCAATTGTTTGATTCTTGTATATGTTTTACTCCTTCCTAGTTAGGCTACATCTTAGTTCTAATTAATCCTTGTTTATAGGAGGGCCTATGCTTCAAGTTTCCTTCTAGGACTTCCCGCAGAGTATGTATATGGATAACAAGAGTTAGAGACCCCAAGGCATGAGTAAAGGGGGAGATTGTTAGGAGTTAACTTAGGTCTTTAGTAACTCTAGTTAGTGTGACTATAGTTAGTTAGACTAGGGCTGATACTACTATATAAGAGGGCTGGTAGATGCTTTTTGTGACACTTAGGGTTATTTGGTATAGTGACTATGTGTTCGGTGCACGTAGACCTAGACTCACTCAGTTGAATCATGTATTTTCATGTGACTACTCTTAATTGCATGCGTATGTGTGTGAATTTCGTATGTGTGTGAATTTCTGTTTCAGACCCACAACGCTACGGTAGTAAAAGTAATCCAATGTGTATACCCGTATAATCCAAGCAATCCGCAAGTTTGTTCTCCTCCTTTTTGGTGGGATCCATTGTACAAGCATTCGGGGGACAATAAAACAATAAGTATCCTAAGTCAGAGAAATGAAATAGAGTATATAATCGGCTGGGAAGATAGAACAAGCATGTTTTCTAGGCGGGGTCTCTCAATGATCAGCAAAGCAGCTGGTTTCGTTGGCTGGAACTCGGTTTTCCTTATTCTCTTTATCCACTGCTATAGATGATGAAACCATGGATGTTTGGGACTAGATGTGTATGTCCGTTTGATGTCGTTCTGATCGTTGTGATTTCAGATTTCCACTCCCAAGTCTTGAATCTTGCTTCATTCCGTTATTCTTGGTTGATGACATTTAAAGCCCAGACTCGACGACCCATGCGGTTTGATCCCATGTTTACTGAAAGTGCCTACAAAACCTTTCGGAGTAGTAGTTGTCTTCTCCGATCTATTCCGTCGTAACTGAATCAATGCGAATTTTGTTGTAAGAACCTTACGATATAAAAATCTTCTCACCAACCTATATGGATGGATCAATGGATATTGTTGTTGTGGAGTCATAAGGTGATGCAACCATCCGTAAAGTGCATCTGAACTGCGCTAATCTGAATTGAGATTGGGGACTTCAAGTCAGACAGGACTTCGAGTTTTGTTATTTTACTGTGTCTCTTTCTTTCTAGTCAGACAGGAGCTAATCTGCATGGGAGAACAGTTTATCAATCTGTCTCACCTACTTATAACCACCAGACATCTACACCTTTAAAATTCAATATTCAAATGTTGCGGCTCCTTCCGCTTCGGAGAGAAATGCGAACCATCAAGGGAAAAAACAGAGAAAACTCGGAGAAAATCAAAATCAATGAGGGATGAAACAGAGAGAAATCAAAATCAAGGGCCTTACGAATGGAGACATTGCCCATCTTGCCTCCACGGTGGATCGAACACCGGACCTTCAGTTTACAAGACTGACGCTCTACCACTGAGCTATAAAGGCTCGTTGTATCGGCGCACTCTGCAACAAGATCTATTTAATATACAAAAAAATTGCAAAAAGTAACTTTTGTAATTGCATGACACGTGGAAAATGGATCAATACAAGAGATATAAATATTTAGTTTCAATTCGTAAGCTTCACTACTGCAACAGTTATGGAATAATGGTGAATCATGAATCAATAAAGAATGATGATGTTATTAGATTATGAATTTACTTTTGCTGATCAATAATCTAAAATTCTATTTCATGTAAATAATAATTGTAAATTTTTTTATTGAATAATACAAATAATATACTCCTTTTGAATCCTCGCCAACATTAACTTGAAATGAAAATCCTCCATACAAGGATTCTTATAAAAAATTTTAGATTATATGAAATGCATGGATTCATATTCCTGCAAAATTCAGAGCTTTCTAGACCTTAAATTACAAGTCATTTAAAATGGTCAACCGAGTCCTTGTGATTTATCTCGCACATAACATTTTCCTATCCAAAAATCATGTCTAAGAAATGTTGGTATCCCCACCGTTCTCAACTTGTCATCAAGTATCATATGAACTTTATATGACTAATTATTTATTATTGTGTCAATTACTATTGAGGATAAGATATTGTATATGGTTGCAAAGATTTGAACTCATTCTATCAATGAGTATTATAAATAATATGTTCTTTTTATGAGATTTCTAGAGTAAGAATATGATAATTTGATCAAAATTCTACAACGTTTGGAGGAAGTCAAAACTTTGTTTAATATAGAGAAATGCATTTTTGGATACAAAGAAGGTTTGTTGTTGGGTTATATGATTATATACCCCAACAACAAACCTTCTTTGTATCCAAAAATGGTATAGCGATGGATCTGAAAAAAGTTAAACACATCATTGACTTTACTTTTTCATTGACATTAATCAAATTGAGATAGTTCATTGATATGGTGGGATATTATAGAAGTTTCATATTTTTATTTTCCAATAAACAATATTGAAATCAAACTAAATTGGGATAAATCTTCCATTTTTTACACGAATACATCAAACATTGATGCAAGATGTATACTAAGTCAATAAAATGATGACTATCATGATCATCCAATTGCTTATGCTAGTAAACAAATGTGCAAGTTGATAAAAATACTATTTGGAAATTTATTATTGTTACATATCACAATGCTTTGAAGTATATCTTTAAAAAACCTAATGTATATCATAGAATAGCAAGATAAAATTATTACTAGTGGAGTTTGATTACAACATTGAGGATTGAGCCGATATGAAACACATCAATGCTGATTTGATGTGTCTTTGATATCTCAAACATATAAGGAGGAAATATATGAACCAATGGATGACACATTTCCACATATAAAGTTGTTGATGTTGGACACAATGTATGAGTTCAAGGAAATATGGACTTTCATTTTGGAAGGAGAGTTTCCATAAGACATATATTCATGCTAGAGGAATGCCTTGGTGAAGAAATGTGAATCTTTCATCGTCGTAGATAACATGTTATTTCATCAGAGAACTAATATATTACTCATAAGAGTTGTTGGAAAGGATGAATCAATTAAGCTCATGAAAAAATTTCATGAAGTCTCGGTATGCAAAGAATACATGCAAGATAATTGCATTGAAGATTCTAGATGCATGCTATCATTCAAATGGTATTTTCAAAGATTTTATGGAATTTTGCAAAAGTTGTGATACTTGTCAAGCTTTTGCTAAAAAGTCTATGAAAATCATTCACTTGACATTATTTAATATTTGAGTTCCATTTCAGAAATGAAGAATAGATTTTGTAGTACCTTTGAATATTACTTCTCGGGGTAACAAATTCAATGTGGTGGCTACATATTATCTAACCAAGTGAATAGAAGCTAGTATTCTAAAATCTACCAATGACAATGAAGTGTGTAGATTTCTCTACAAAAATATAATAACTAGATTTTGATATTATATTGATATTGTATCATATAGAGGTGACGAGTTTATTGAACCATTATATAAACCATATTAGATAATTAAAGACATATGTAATTATTTTATACCAACCAAATGCTACCAGTTCTATACACTTTGTATGATGTGGACTAATGATGAATACAATGATGGGAGTAAGAAAAATTGGGACATGCGTCCACTTCTTTATTGTCACTGTCATGGAGTAAACCATGACAAAACCATGAGACTCCTAGATCGTTTTTCCTCTTGTAGTGGAGGCGATGATTACACTAACTTGCATTCCTCTTGACTTCAAATTGTCAATTACTTTATGCCCGGTCCTGCTATCCCTATGACACATAGCACTCCAAACATATGGAGCTGAAAAGTGGAGCGACTCACCTGGACTTGAATTTTGTTCACTAGTTAACAACTTGCAAAGTGAAGAAAAGGCTTGCGTTAGATTCAAATGAGAGACAATAATCTCAGTTTCAACAGAGTTCAGACATTAATGTGGAAGATACCCAAGATTGGAGACGCGAAAGTATCTCTCTGATCTGCAACCATCAAAATGGACCTACGTACGTAGTTTTAATGTTGTTGTGAATCCACATTGCATGTATAGAGTGCTGAGACAGATTGCGTTCACAACGTATGCAACTATTGCAGGAATCTATGTAGGGACTAATATCCGCATGAACCAAACTTCGAACTTATCACTGATCCCACTTCTTCCATCACTTGAGCCATCTCCTGTCACATCAAAACACCGTCGGGAGATTTCGAAGGATTCCAATCACCAGTGGAGCTTTAATCGGGATGAAACACACTCCACATAACTTGAATGTTAACTTCATATCTTGGGGATCTTCATATCTAAGGTCTGTAAGTCGAATGTCAAGGCAACGATTTGTATGTATTTTCAGAATCACAAACAAGAACACAGTCCACAATAGCTGATCGTGGAGTTCATGGCGTACCTTTCAGTAATTGTTATAATCTAGTGTGTCCTGCCCTGAACGAACATTTTAGTGTTTTCGGAGCTTCCAACTGAAATGTGGGCCACATTGTGTATTGTATAAAAAATTGCACATAATTGCACATAACTGCATAAGAAATTGAATTGGACAAAATTGCATGCACTCGAGAGCTGAGACGCTGAGCTACGGCTGCTGACTTGGTATCATGTCGTCATATTTTTGATTGAGTTCATTAGACCCCAGAGTTTAAAGTTTCTGACATGAAGCAGGTCCGTCTTCCCGAAGTTTACATACGTAGGTCCAGTTCGAGCCGACCAAGAAGTATTCCTCGCGACCGGTGGTTGAAAATGTTTACCTTTCGTATTCCACGTGGAAGAAAGAAAATTCGCTGCACATGAATTGCATGTTATAATAAAGGTGCACGTGGTCTATCGTTACCGTCTGGCCGTTTGTACTCCGTTGGTCTTCACGGAGAATTCACTTTCACTGAGTCCATATTGGAGACAGCGGGGCAGTCGTTACACTATTCGTGTGAAATTTCTACAAAATGTATATTCCACCTTCTACTCATGTTTTCACCTATTGCCAATCCTCCTGTTTTAATTTTAGGGAAATTGTACTTTATTGTAATTGTAAGTTATCATTCGCTCTTGATCGTCTCCAATTTCCCGCTGTTCCTATGGTGTGGCTAATGCGGTAACAGACAAAATACACACTTACAGTTATATACATCAATTTGCTCATCTTCAATGATGCAGTAATAACAACGTGATTTAATATATCCAAGAATTTTGTAGGCTTTGTAGTTTCTGTTTTTCGCATGTTCTTGTGCTGTGGACTGCCTCATGCACTTTCCAAAACTCCTCAAAGCCTGTCCGCAACTAGACCAGAATGTGCGGATGACTGCGGACTAGACGTGTAGACATCAGACTGCGAATAACAATGCAGACTCCGAGCATATGAGTGGATGGACATGTGTTACACTGGATGGTAATAAAACGAAGGTGTGGTTGCGTCAATTAGGGCCAAGGGATTTTTCTGCGAGGCGTTGAAACGCAGAACAGGAATGATTGTAATCATTGCTTCATCTCCTTCATTCTGTTCATAGATCTTTTCAAATTCACTCACTCATGTTGAAGCAATCAGGTCCCCAAACCAAAAAAGGAGGAGAATCAGAACTCTAAGAAACGAGCAGAACAAAGATATTGACAACTAAGGAAATCAAATGAACCGGTCGTGAATATAAATTTTCGCACACGAGACGTTTTTATACCAACACTGCGAACCTGCAGACTTACACTCTTTACCGCAGTCTTGGAGAATCCAACTCAAACCTCATGGCAGACAAATCGACTTGGCTTACGGTCTATGCGTTTTTTTGTTGTCCATCGCTACAGCCAGCTCGCTCAAGTGAATTTTATAACCATAGCGTTCCTATGAGGCTGATTCGGTTCCTTCTAGACTCAAGAAAATAGAGTTTCTTCCACAGAGATCGGATGCTGGATACTCTCATTCCAGAGAAACACGCCACAAATCTTCTGTACGGAATTGCGTTTCACTGGTTTGATTGAAGAAAGTAAGTCATTGGACAACAAGAAGTTGTCTCTATTTCGTTAAAGAAACAAGTGTAAACGTACCTTTCTGCTCTTCCTGTGAGCATTCATCAAACATAGAGTATTTTGGCCCGGTACAAGCAACTCCAAAGCAGTACCTAGTTCTGTGGTTTCATGGTGTTCTCTACATCAATCACAAATCTGAAGTGCACGTCTCCCTTGATCATCCTCTTGAAGGCTTCGTTGATGTAATCGATGGGAATCTTCTCAATCGTGCAAACTATGTTCTTTTCGCCACAGAAGTTCAACATTTCCTGCAGCTCCACCTGAGAAGCGATGCAACTTGATCCGACACTTTTTCCACCTGACAGGTAAATCATACCATCAGATATCAAACTTGCGAAATCTATGCAAACGGTGAAACCATCTTCCGCGACCATGTGTAGTAAAGTTCGCTATAGTGAGCATCAACAATCACCCGCATACTAATAGAATCGGGGAATTCACTGAAACTCATCAAACTCTCTCCATTT